GATCTAGTTGGAGTCAATATGGCATTTAACGGAGCACTGCAGGTGCAAAATGACAGCAATTTAAACCAAGACAAAAGCCTAGTAGAGTACGATTACTTTCCGAATATTTGAGTAACAGGAGGAAAAAGGCAAGGCAGAAACCCAAGGCCTGGAATATCTATAACAAATGTCAATGTCTTCTTTCTATGTTCATGTTGAATACTGACTGCCCCTAAAGGCAGTTAAAAATGGATGTAAAATTTGATATTATCAAAAAACTTCAGTGTTCATGTACCTTGACACATAAATTTCATTCTGGACAACTAAATTTGGAAATAATGTGGGCAAAAGATCTATGTATAAGGACTGCATATAAGTTCTAAGTATGTGGGTTTCTCTACTGCATTATTTAGAACACTAAAAAAATTAGAAATAATTTAATATCCAATAATGGGGGAAGAGAATGTCCCAGGAAATCAAAGTAAGTCTACCTGACGGAACGCTATGCCTTCTTCACTAAGGACGATCAACAGGAAGACTATGCAGTAACAGGGGAAAATACTATGTATGGCCCAAAGTTAACAGAAGCAGAGGACACAGTGACCATGAATGTCATTATGTGAAAAGCATGTCTGCATATGAACAGTCTGAATAGGGGATTTTGTAAAAATAATCCCTGTCATTACATCTGGGTTGGGGGTTTCTGGAAGAATTTTTTCTCCATTATCCAAACTTTCATTGTGGTTATTATATTGCCTCTACTTAAAGAAAAAAAAAAAGAAAGCTACCCAGCTCCTTTGTTTTTTAACATATGGAAATGTTAGGAAAAATGGAAATTTCCACTGTTTAATATTCTGCCCCCATTATGCATCAAATAAATGTTAAACCACGTTTTGCTAAACAAATCTCAAAAATGTAGAATGCAAATGCTTTTACTTTCCATGCACAGCAGATACTTTGGTCATCAAGAGATTGGTGGCTTTTAAGTCTCTTAGGCTAAGTTTTTTCCTAACAACATTCCACTTCCTAAATCATTCTGAAATGCCTCTTCCCATGACTTGACACATATTTACTCAAAATGCTTGCCCTGCACAGTTGTGGAAGTTCAGAATCCAGGAGTGAACAAAGCAGACCCAGACCCGCCACTGTGAACCTTACCACAGGCCTGGGGGTGGGGCAAGCGACGGCAGGGGTGCCGTGCTGCCCACAGCGTGGCCTGGGAAAGCCTCTCTGCAGCAGAGATCTGAAGCAAATACAGATGGAGCCGTGTGGCAGTCTGGGAGAAGTGTTCTAGAAGCACGCTTGGTGCACTGGGGCCAGTTGACTGGAGAGTGGCGGGTGGGGGTGGCAGGGGGTCAACAAGAGCATCAGGCCACGGCGACGAGCTGGCTTTGTATTCTTAGTGAGAGAGAGAAGGAGCCATGAGAGGTTAAAGCAGTAACATGATTTACCCTTAACTTTCTGTGATGCTGGAACAGCTCCACCTCTGCAGTATTCATTCCGCAGCCACCAACCAGGCGTGTCTATTTAAATTTAAATCAATTAAAATTAACATTTCAGTTCTTCCACTCCAATGGTCACATTTCAAGCGCTCAGGTGGCTAAGGCCTACCCTGGACAGTGTGGTTTTAGAGGAGCAGTCAGCACACTGGGTGGGGAACAGACTGGAGGCAGGCAGGTGTCAAATAAAGCAGACAGGACCAGTCAGGAGGCCATTTCTAGGAGAGAAATGGTGGTCACTCGCCATGGGTCATATTAAAGGAGGCGGTAGGAAAGGGTCAAATTCAGGACAAAGTTCTAAAGGCGGACTTGCTGACGGACTGAATGTGGACCATGAGAGGTCTCACCACTAGTTCTGTGTCCTGAGCACCTGCAAAGGGGAAGTGCTGTATATTTGGAAAAAGAGGATGTTTTAGAGGGGAGTCTGGGATGAAATCACAAGCTCGGTTTTGGACATGTTGACATGAAGTGCCTGTAGGGCATCCTAGCAGAATGCCCAGAAGCCTGTGGGACTGAGAACAGAGATCTGGGCTGAAGACACATTTTTGGCGCTGTCGGTACCTAAAGTCATTTGCTGGGTGAAATCACCCAGCAGTGGCTGCTGATGGTGAGGAGAAGTTCAAGGATGGTGACTGGGTCACTCTGGTTTTTTTTTTTTTTTTTTTTTTTTTNNTTTTTTTTTTTTTTTTTTTTTTAATATTTTTATTTATTTTTGAGAGAGCGAGAGAGAATGAGAGACAGCCTAAGCAGGGGAGGAGCAGATAGAGGGAGACACAGAATCTGAAGCAGGCTCCAGGCTCCGAGCTGTCAGCACAGAGCCCCATGCAGGGCTCGAACTTAAGAGCCGTGAGATCATGACCCAAGCAGAGGTAAGGTGCTTAACCAACTGAGCCACCCACGCGCTCCGATGTTTAAATGTTGGGGAGGCAAGGAGGGCTTGTAAAGGAAATGGAGAAGGCAAGGCAGGTGGAGAACCAACATGTCCAAAAGCCAGATGAATGACAAGTCTCAAAAGGGATGGCATGATCAACTACGTCAGATGCCACGGATACGCGGAGTAAGAGACCGGAGAATACGCTGTGGTATCCCACAACACAAAGGTCACCTGTGACCTTCACAACATTTTAATTCCCACTGCCACTGCCTTACCTGGACTCCTGGACTAGCCTTGTAACTGAGCTCCTTTGCTCCAGTAAGTCTGCCATTCAAACACGTCTGCCATGTTATTGTCAATGTTATTTTTCCAAAACCTAAGTTTTCCTACATCAACAATCTTGCCTGATACTACCTTATCTATAGCAGCAGCAGCTAACCCTTAGGGTGCAGATAAAAATCAGCAGGGGATTGCTAGGCCCTAACTCCCAAGACTGTGTCTCAGTAGATTGCGGAAGACCTGGAAACTGTATTTTTTTAAGAAGCAGCCCAGATAACAGTTACAAGGGACAGAGTCCAAACTCCTTAGCAAGGCAAACAAAGCTTTTCCAAATCTGGTGCCAAACTCCCCGACTAGTTTTTTCCTATTCCACTCTAGACAACATCTATATGCTTCAACAAGCTTGATCTAATTATTCAAACCAACTGCATTTTTCCAAACATGCCGTGTTCTTCCAGATATTACTGCCCCATGTCCTCCAAGCTGCTCCTGCTGCACATTTAAACCCGGCTGCGCTCAGCAAACTCTGACTCATTCTTCAAGACCCAGCTTAAATGTCACTGCTAGTGCGGGGCCTCGCCCAGCTCCCAAACTGTGTTAAACATTTCTCTATCACATTTGTCGCACCGCCTGTTTGCTGACCGTTCTGCCATCACCCCTGGCAACTCCAGGAGGTTGTCAGGAGGCGCTGGTTTCGCCACCTGTGTAAGGCCCACACACTACCAGGCACACTGCAGACAGTCAATAACCCCGGGACTGTGGCCTGATGTGCTGGAGGGCGCTCCTGGGGTTACGAAGACACAGCCACTGTGCAGTGCTGGGGAAGCCAGGAGCAGCGCTGAGAGGGCAGACTGCTACCTGGGACCTGGAGAACGACCAGCACTTAGAGGGATGAGGAAGGAGGGACACTTAAGAGGACTCCCAGAAACCCAGGGCGGGACCATGGAGATGACAGGGCGGGGCGTTGAACATTCCTTCCTCTACTAAGACAGTTACAGACTCAATGTCAAAAACAGAATTTGAAATCTATAGGTTATGGTTTAAAAATGTATATATACACACACACGTATCTTTGAGAGAAAGAGAGAGGGTGTGCACATGACGGGGAGAGGGAGAGGAAGATGGAGAGAGAGAGAGAGAGAGACAGAATCTTAAGCAGGCTCCAAGCTCAGCTCAGAGCCTGACTCGCAGCTCAATTTCACAACCCTGGGATCATGACCTGAGCTGAAAGCAAGAGTCGGACGCTTAACGGACTGAACCACCCAGGTACCCTCAAATAAAATGTTTTAAGACTTTGTCATGAAAGATATTTCAAAAAACAAAATAGCAACAAAACAATGTGTTGACTGGACCTAGTAAGTGCCCCGCCCCCTTCTGTAGGGTGGGAGGGACTCAACGCTCTTGATCTTAATTCACTAAAGGAACATTCTCACGAGACTAAGGTCACACGCTGAATCTTCACACAGGCTCACCAGCTTTTATATTGCTCTTCAAGACCCATTTTCTCACAGACATATGAGGGACTCTGTGGTAGACTGGCGCAAATCTGTCACCTGCAGCCTGCAAACAACTCATTGCACACCTCCTACTAAGAAACGGACCTAAAGGGTTTCCCAGAGGACCATATCCCCCAATACAGAGCTGCTCTGTGAATAAGTCTCTGCCACATCATTTGTTCTGAACACACTCCCCTGGAGCACCGAGTCAGTACTTCACCATCCAGCTCCTTAAAACTCCTCTCAGAATACCTTAGAGCCTGGCTATTCTCCTGTTTACCTGTGGGGAGTCCTCAAGGGCAACAGATTTCAGAATATTGGCACATTGGAATTTATACAGTAGTTTCAATTACATGCAATTAAAACAATCCATGCAGCATTGGAAAAAATACAGAGAGATCGGAAAGGAATATAATCATAATGCTTTTCATATAAAAGCATCTTTGTGTGTACAATACAATAAAAAAAGAAGTTTGACATTTTGTTCTAAAAATCTTGATCTGGATATTTCACATAAAAATTTTTTTGTTTAATGTTTATTTTTCAGAGAGAGAGAGAGACAGACAGATAGACAGAGTGTGAGTAGGGGAGGGGCAGAGAGGGAGGGAGACACAGAATCTGAAGCAGGCTCCAGGCTCTGAGCTGTCAGCACAGAGCCCGATGCGGGACTTAAACCCATGAACCCTGAGATCGTGACCTGAGCCAAAGTCAGACGCTTAACCAACTGAGCCACCCAGGTGCCCCAAGATTTTTTACATTTGAGACATCTGGGTAACTATTATTCCTTCTCTGCCCACAAAACTGGTCAGTTGGTGACTGGTTACCACCTGTACAGGCTTTCCTGCCGAATCGTGGAAACATAAAATCACTTACCTGGGGGGAAATAAACTGGGGAGGCACTTGTGCCCGGAGATTAGGAGAAGAATTTAGTGGCTGCACTGGCGTGTGCATACCTCTCGATTGTGCTGTGCTATTTCCAAACAAACCATGATTGCCACCCTGCAAACATAACAGCAGCAGTAAGGCTTTTTTGTTAATGTCAGAAAATGTGAAAAAGAAACAGTTCTGGCTTTCTGTCCCTCAGAAGAATCATATCCTGTGTTCCGTGGAATCACAGAATTTTATAAGCGAAAAATTCTCAGTCTTGGAATGCTTGGGAAAATTATCCAAATCAAATCATGCACACAGCACCACCACCCCTGCAGTCTGAGGCACTCTATAACCAAAAGGCTTAAATTCGGTCAAATGTTTCAAAAAAGCACTACCTTTTTTGTCTTGGAATTGAAAGGTATAGGCAATATACTATTTACTTAAACTACTCTCTTTCTTTTAAAGATTGGGTTTACCAAGTTTATTCTCAAGTCCAATAATCTGAGCTCCACCTTGAAAGGCACTTGATTACAAATGCAGGGTTCTGAATAATATCAATTATAAAACAACACTAAGACATTAACGTCTCCGAATTGATTAGTTCAATCATAGAATCAGTGCCACCCGCTTGTGGTCTAGTTCCATGAGAAGTCTACTCCAGACTTCAACATCCTTTCCTATCTTGGGGCTGCTTGATCCCTTCTTTGCTAGATGAGAAAATCTAAATCAAGAGCGAGATTTAAAAAAAAAAAAAAAAAAAAAAAAAAGGAAAGGAAAGGAAAGGAAAAAGTGAAAAACCATTCAGGGGCACTAAAAAAAAAAAAAAAAAAAACCAACCAAAAAAAACCATTACTCACCTGTAACTTTTCATTCCAGTGCATGAATGTCAGTCTAGTTTAAAAAAAGCTTAATTCCCTGCTTTCTGGAGGACTAAGTCACTGGACCACTTCTAGGCTATAACAATCAAAGAGCTACAGAAAACTGAGCTATATGATGGCCCTTCTGTTCTGACTCATTTTGAGCCGAGAAAAGCCCTTCAGCGAAAAAGCCTATTTGATAACTTGCCACTGTTCCGTCTGAGATGGTGAAGGTTTCTACACCATCTTCACTTGGCCTCTTCAAGGCCCAGCTCAGAGCTCATCCTCATAAAGGAAGGCTTCCCCCAATTTTCTTCCTCGGTTCACATTCAAATTAACTGACCCGCTTCTATGTTCTCAAAACACTTTAAGTCGTTCCTTGATGGCACTGATGAGCAAGTCATGTTATAGTTATTTTCCAAGCTGGTGGTCTTTCCACCACCAGCTTAATATTTCCTTTTCTGTATTCCCAGAAATCAATAAAGTCCTAGTCTGTAGGAGGCTAACATCACGACCCACCAACTTCATATATTTGGCAACATGCCACTGCACATCCTTAGCCAGATCAGATGCACCACTGCCTATATCTAGTCTGTGTATTCTGATGGAAGTCACCATCTTATCCCTGGTTTCGTGGGGATAAAGGTAATTTTAAAGAAGAATTTTGTAACAGCACCATTAAGCTCTAGAATACTAAAGATATTTCAATGGCTTAATGATTCAAAATAGATTAAGGGACTGTTACTGGAAAATTAATGAATTTAAAAGTACTGAAAATAAAAATGGCTATGAACATAAAGTAGAAAAGGCAATCAAAACCTGTGTCTATGTCATAAAAGAAAATCAAAGATCCACCATGAATTTTAAGTCTCCCCAAAGGACTCTTTAAACATTAAAAGACCTTTAATTCTACAAACACTAATGTCTCCTCTTCCCCTGTCTTACTAAGCTAAACTGTCGCTCCAAGGTGATGTGGCTTGGCTCTTAACTTCTCTGAGATCATGGTAGCTGGTAGCTTACCTCCTGATCATCCTCAAGAACACAAGAAACATCTGTTTCATTGAGAATATTCTGCTAAGGTCATTCTCATACTTCACTGTCAAAGTAATGACCTTGTTATTAAATGCTAATTATTCATGGACAGGTGCTTGGATGGTAGGGATTCTGGTAGCTGAAATCCTTGCCAGAATCCATTTTAACTGGTCCAAAACTGCGTTGTGAGGATCATTTTAAATTCCAACAGCTCTTTTGGTAAGACATATTAAAAGGAATTTGACTTTTTTTAATTTTCTTTTTTAGTTTTTATAAAATCAGGCCCTACCTACAGATTCGCAGTGGACAGACGCCTCCTAACCCCGTCAGACGTTTCAGGTTTTCTTTATCAAACTATCCCTAAAATCGTATCAAGCCCTGTGATACGTCCAATATGGGTAACAGTACAGATGAGTGGGCAGTAGTCTATCAGACACCTTCTCTCTTTTTAAATATGGAACCTGGCACTGTTCATTTTCTTGGCTTAGAAGTAGCTATTTTGTATAGTAATATGTTTAGTGGTGATCATATAGATTCAGGTTTTTTTAAAGCATATTTAGAAATTAGGGAAACAGTCATCAAACGTTTATATGTTAATGGCACTTAATCTGGTTATTTCTGATTATACAATAGCTTCACTGCTGTATGATGACCCGAGTCTAATATTTATTGGTGATATTTGCCTCAACTACAGTGTTTAACTCAGAAAGGCATACAAATTAAAAACAATGTTACCAAGCTGATTGAAATCTGTGATTTGAAAATAAAAACCTCATGTTTTAATTTTTAATTAGGAAGTATATTAAGTCTGCATGAAAATGGCGTGAAAAAAACCCACAACCATATTTGGTTGATTCACAATGGACTTTGTAGCAATCCACCAATTAAAAAACAAAACAAAACAAAAACAAACAAACAAAAAACCCCTAAAGCCCCAAACCAAACCAAACTAAAGAAACCAAAGAGGAATGACTTTTTCTTAGTGTCCAGCATATGGGTACTTTGGCTGGTTTATTACGTTATACTAAAAATTATAGTAGTATTGTATTAGTATTGGTAAAATGCCATTAGTATGGCCTTTGATAAACATAGGATCCTGGAGGCATGTTTATAATCATCATTACTCAAGAGTGTCAGGGCTATTTTATAGTTTGTATACCTCAATCCTAAACAAAAAAGCCGCCCCAAACCACTGATGCAATTATTTCTTATCTGTTTACATAAGCATTACACATCTATGTTCTCTTCGGAAGCATTAAGAAATGCGGTGAAACATAAAAAAAAAAAGAAAACAAGAAATTACCCATAACTCCCAAACCAGAGATAACCAACTGAATACACGGATATAACATAATCCATTGAGAAAATGTGCTCAGGCAACAATTAGACGTGTATGAAAGGCCTACGTGTAACCGGAGGACTACAGTGTGAGAGAGGTTTTACATCATCCTTTAACTTGTATGTGAAAGCCCTCATGTGGAAACAGAATGGATACAATTAATAATTAAATATCCTTCTGTTATACCCTGAGGTGAAAGGCACAATGACAGGTAAGTGGCCACAGAACTGTGGCTAGGAAAACATCACCACTGCAGTCACCATCACAAGGGAATGGTCTCCGAATTTCTGGTCTCCCCCATGGGAGCTACACGGGAGCTGCAGTGACGGCCCCTCACGCTGCTTCAGGCCCACAGAGGTGACGGAGGGGGTGTTGGGGGGCCAGCCCCGCCAGTCTCGCCCAGTGCACAGCCCTTCCTGGGGCCATGGAGACACGCCCCTAGGAAACAGGCTGCTCCGGGCTGCTTGCCACGTCTGAGCGGTATCCAGTCTTCCCAAAGCTTCATTCCCTCATATCCAATTACCTTTCTCTGGGTAATTGCTATATTTTACGCTTAAGGACACTAGATTTTAAGATGCTGTAATCCTCAACTATACACTCTTCCTAGTTTTGCCGCTGTTTTCTAATTAGACATTTTGTCAAATTGAAAAGACTTCAGAAGTTATCACTTGCCATTCAATCTAATGTTAAAAATGGCAAATATGTTGCTAAGTTAGATACAAGACATAAGATACCTATGTCGCCTCTTTAACGTCTTCCTAAGCCAGTTATTAATTAACCTCTTTAATGTCTTCCTGAGCCAGTTATTATTAACTTATTAAATGTGAACTTATGACCGAAAATGAGAGGACTAAAGAAACAGATTGAAAATAAAATCCATGTTGAGAAAACACGAAGAGAGATGGGTTCTATGGGCTGAAAGATCTAAAGCCTAATACTTAGTATCATTCTGTGCATTCAGTAATCAACAAATTTCCCAAGACAGACAAAAGATGCAATAAACTGCAGACCAGGGCCAAGGCTAGGCCACAGCCGAGCAGTTATAAATTTGAGAGGCCTCCTTACTTGTCTAGCAGCGAAGTTTTGGGGGTTGAGCCCTGTGCCGATTGCTCCAAGGCTGACGTTGGGTAGTGTGGAACCAGAGGGAGACAGCTTGTAGCTGGGAGAAGGGGAGAAGGGAGAGCAGGGAGCCTCATCCCCAAGGCACCCATCTTGATTGGAGAAAGGCAAAGTCAGCTGAAAAGTAGTAGGAGTTAGCCAATCACAATGAGTGTTGGTTAGTGAAGCAACAGAATGCAAGAAGGGACAAGAGAGAAACACTAGGAACAAACAGAGTTAGAGTGTATTAGCGATAAACAAGGATGGAATTTGGATCTGATAAGAGTCATCACACTTGGCCCAACAGACACCATCTATCATCTCTAATACAGATTTTTTCTTATTCTCTAAGTCAGTAACACATTCTGCCCATTGCACGAAGATAAAAATTGCCAGACACTTTATTTTTATGCATCCAATATTAATTACTCCACCATGTGGCTGCTGAAACAGAAGCCAGAGTAACCCTGTGAATCTGTTGCCGCCTGGACCAGCATCAGGGGTGTTAGAAACGTGCTAGATCTAAAACTGTTAGTTTTTAACTGCTTTCTGAAGCCCAGGGCAATGGCAAGTCCGTATTTGGAATCAAGGAATGATCTCCTCCATTAGAATTGATAAAAATCAGAACAAATAGGTATAAATGGCTCGTTAAAATCAGGCACTTGAGAATTTGGACAGTATGCCGCTATAACTAAAAATAGGTCACTAGGGAAATGGAGGAGGAGAACAAAGAAGTCCCTAAGAAATATCAAAAGAGAAAGTTATGGGCCACATTGACAAAGTTAGAAGGCAAGGTCTTGGGAGATACAGATTGTTTGCACAAGATACCAAATTTAATTTCTCATTGCATAGCAGCAGAAAAAAAGAATTCAGAATAAATTTGTCTCCAAAATTTCTTCTACGTTTTGAGTGTGAATTTATTTTCTATTGTAAAAAGTCAGACCATATACCCCAAGTTTCATAAAAATTTCAAAAACTTAGACCTCCTTCCCAATACTCACATGCTAAAGACAGATGGTTCTAGCTACTGCTCAATCACCTGTTGACATCAACTGTTTCCATGTCACCACTTAAATGCAGGTGATGTCTGCGTTTTGCTCATTAATTAACTCAGTAATTCTATGCTTCCTCCTGGAATCGATTATCAAAAGAACAAATGGGAACCAAAGTGGTTCGCATGAATTATTATCTCAGACAAAGGATTCAACTCACCTTCTCAAAATAAGGCCCACTATCTGTGGTTCCCATGTCTTTGGAATTAGGTGGACGGAACCCAGATCGATCCTTCCTCATGATATCATTAAAATCCCCGAGATTCATCGCTCTCTTGTCCACGTCAAATTTTTTATCTGGAAGGCTCCCTGAAAAGTAGTACAGAAGTAGTGAAAATTTTAAGAACCAATATTTCCCTCATGATCAGGAGTGACTGGTCCCCCCTGCCTCCCGGGGGGGGGGGGGGCGGTGTTGAGACCATCAATTGGTTGAGGCTGCCAGGGACCCTCCCTGGAGCACATGTGGATCTTTTTGTTTCTTTTTAAAAGACCTGTATCTGTTGTAGCTTGTTTTCAATGGAAGACTGAAAGAGACTTAGGGCCAAACTGGTAAAAACCTGACTAAAAAATTATTCCGACTGGCTATTGATGCGTTTGCCGAGTATAACTGGCTCAAATTCAAATGTCCTCAGTGAGAGAATTTGTCTCTTGCTGCTATTTTAGCATCTGCTAGATAAATGGGTAGGGTTGGCTGTGAAACAGTTACTGGGAATAAAGAGGCCTATTAGGCACAGCTGTTACCCTAGAATTGAGAACTCAGATTTGAACACATGAAGTGAACAATGTGATTTTCCAGGTACGATGATTATTCCTCTTTTCTTCAAAGCTCTGGAAATTTGTGATTGTACACAGACATATCAGTGCCCCTGGAGGCTTACTTTTTCATTATTCTTAGATTTTTTTTTCTTTTTTGAAGTGTATTTATTTTGAGAGAGAAAGAGAGAGACTTGTAAGCAAGCAGGAGAGGGGCAGAGAAAGGAGGAGAGAGAATCCCAAGCAGCCTCTGCGTTGATAGCACAGAGTCGGACTCGGGGCTTGAACTAACAAACCATGAGATCACGGCCTGAGCTGAAATCAAGAGTTGGATGCTTAAACGACTGAGTCACCTAGGCGCCCTGTTATTCTTAGATTTTAAAATATCAGAGATCAAAGGATATTTCCCTTATGACCCAGGACTGTTTTCCTTTCTTCTTGGTTTGGTTCTTTTTAAGGGCTTCGAAGTGAGCAACGGCATAACGGTGAGGAGCCCACAGACGAAGGGCTGATACAGCATCTGCTCCATTTGCACTGGGAGAGCTCGTCAGTAACGAAACCTCTCCGGGCAGAGAAATCTGAGAGCGGAGTCTGGCAGGGCCACAGATATATTTTGTTTGGCCACACACCACAGTTTTCAAAATCTGAATTAGTTTCCAGTATTTAAAAATTAGGATGTCAATTTATGTCTGAATTGCTGACAAAGCTGGGCCTTTACCCTCCACGGCAATAACTGTTAAGGGTGGTCAAGGCTGATTCCTTCAGGTGGTACATCTGCTCCCCACAGCTAACAGGTGGCCTCCAAATCCTGATTTCTTATCCCCGGCACACACTTCTTTCTGTTACTCTTGTGGATTCTGCAGCCATTGCAGTCTTCGCTCCCCGTCTAGTGTGTAGGCCGGTCCCTCCTGTCTGCTGACTAGCACCCAGCCCAGTCAAATGGGGCAGGGAATCAACATAACATCATCAACAACAATATATTCCATTCACATTAGTGGAGCGATACACACCTACAGACAAATCCATTTTGCTGCTTGGATTATCTTCAGTTTGACTCTGAAAAATAAGCAACAGTGAGGGAGGATTAAAGGTCTGAATTTAACATTTGAATAAGGGGAAAAAAGGCATGATTTATGTGAGAGTGATGGCTTACTACTGACACCGCACAAGGTCGTTTGACGTGAACCTTACACTGGAATGAAGACAGTATCATTTGTAATTCGACTAATTTGATTGCTGTTGGTGTCTAACGTTTCTAAATTCAATTTTCACATAGAATTAGCTTCAATAATTCTATGGACAGGGCATAGCCGCTTAGAGAAATAAAACCCTGTCCTCAAGTTCCAGTCGGCTCGGGATCAAATTCCAGGAGTGTCAGCCAAATGATGACAACTTCTTCTCGTGACTTGTCAAGTCATCAAATCTGGAAATGTGCAGCCAAGTCAAGCCATTTGTCTTTTGGCAACCAGGGACGGGGTGTCCCCACGATGCTCCCAAGAGATAAATTAAAAAGAGAGAGAGAGAGAAATCCTACAAGAATTCCCTATATAATTAATTAAAGTCTCTCTAGTTATTTTGCGGTTGTTGTCATTTTCAAAATTACAGTATGAAAACTGGTTCAGTAGTAGTCAGGGAAAACTAGGTAAGTTTTAAGGGCCTGGCTCTTTCTTCCCCTAACCACCTAAGGAAACGGGTACAAATTCAAAAGTCATAACCTTTAAATATTAGAGTATTTAATTAAAAATAAGAGAAAACAAATATTGCCTTATCCAAATGAGAAATACTATTTAGCCAGTTTCCAAATCTGTAATTTTTTTTTAAAAAATTAAGACATGTTTAAAGTTTATTTATTTATTTTGAGGCAGGGAAGGGCAGAGAGAGAGGAAGAGAGAGAATCCCAGGCAGGCTCTGCACTGTCAATACAGAGCCTGATGCGGGGGCTTGAACTCATGAACTGTGAGATCATGACCTGAGCTGAAGTCCAGAGTCAGACGCTTAACTGACTGAGCCACCCAGGTGCCCCTAAATCTATAATTTTGAACTATATTTGGCAGTGGTCTTAACATTTGTGCTAAAAGTAAAGGTTGGGATATATTACACGTAGGGGAAAACGAAACTTACCAGCAATCCCATATTTGAAAACTGTTTGGCAAGAGGATTCATCCATGAATCATTGTTTCCTCCTTTCAGTGAGCACTACAGAAATGAAAATGTGCAACCTCAGAACCAAACATTTTATTTGCTCTTACTTCATATCTGAGTTGTATTTAAGTACTGATTGAAAATGAAGAACCAACAGTTTACCTTCTCGAACCCAAATTTCCCTCTTTAACTGTAGTTAATTTGATATTTTCAGTTAGTCTGAAAGAGTATTATGCTTTAGTTTGATCTATGTTTTCATTCTTATTTTATTTGTCACACTGAACTAGAAATAACTGGAAAAATATACAGTCAGCTGGTGTTTTTACCTTACAAACAGAAGAAGGTCAATATCAGATTTTCTAAAATACAGTTTTCACATGCTAGTACTTTCCCTTTTAGTATCTTCTTGTAACCCAAGCCAGTTTGCATTAGAAGAAAAGAAAGTGTTTGATGCTAGTGCCTATTATTTGGAAAATAAATAGGCTATTTAAAATGGTCATTAGTCTCTGTGTGGATACAATGAGGACTCATCTATGTAGCACTTCATCTGCTTGTTTCATAAAGGACATGGGTCCCCAGTGGGAAAGATCCCTCTTACTGTAAAGCAAGGCAGACACGACTTTTTGCTTCTTAAGGGACAATTAGTTTCTCCCTGACGATGACACCAACATTAGCTCTACTTTTTTCTCTATAGAGAAGGCAGGTTGGACTGTGATGTGGATCTTGTGGGGAGCGGGGGATGGAACTTTGTGCACTTGTGAATTCTACAAATAAAAACTGTGTTTTGATCGTATTTGTTATGTCGATGTTATTATTCTTGGAAGTGAGTAAGTTCACGTAAGTTCAGTCACAGTTTTAAGGTCAAAAAAGCCCTCAATGGAGGGAGGGGAGAACTGGTAGTTTTTGCTTAATGTGAATGGAGTTTCAGTTTTGCAAGATGAAAAGAAGTTTTGTGTCTAGATGGTGTTGATGGCCACACAAGATGAATGTAGTACTCAATGCTACTGAACTGTGTGCACCTAAAGATGATTAAAACGGTACATTTTACATTATCTGTGTCTGTATCACAATCAGTTAAATAAAAAAAAAAAAAAAAAAAACACAAAGGCCCTGGGATACAAAAGGTCAGAATTGTCAGTGGGCGCAAAACACTGAACTCCCACTGAGCTGAATGGATTACATCCTGGGGCAGCCTGAGTGAGTGAGCACCTTCTCCTTGGTCACTTTTGGTGGTAAGCAGTCTCCTTCCACTGCCTTTTCATTCAGTCTCGTTGGGAATTTGTAAATGACACAAGCAAGGCCACAACAAGCCAGATAGCATGAGAGTACAAAAATGCGGAGAAGTTTACTGAGTAATTCCTTTTGTGACCGGGGCAAATAAAAAGAAGTCCTCAGAAGGGAAACTGCTAACTGGCTGCTTGAACAGGACGTCTCCAACAGGAGCTACCTGTGTTCTTAGGTTGTCCAGTTACCGTATTCAGAACAAAATTAATATCCTACAGCAAAGGGGATAAAGGCGCAGCCCCCTTGGCCACCTGAAGACCTTCCAGGGTGGCACCTGGTATTCGAAACCAGGACAATATTCACTGTGAAGCTGAAATTATACGGCTGCCCCTTCTTTATTTCCATCAACTGATCTGTGGAAGGGAAAAGAATGCCTCTGCTGAGAGAGTGGTTCAGGTTCAAAGACCTGTTCTAGACTGAAAACAAAGTCCTCATCGAATTATGCACATCAAGGGAGAAGTGGAGTTGCTCCAAGACACGGAAAGTGACAGCTTTAGAACACAACCTGGTACGGGATGTAGACATATCACCTGGCCGCTGCCTCAGGCTTGCGAACCTGCACTTTGCTTTGCTGGGAGAGCAGTTCTGGGTTTTGGAATTTCCCGGATCGGATAAAAACCAATCATGCTTATCACCACTGGAGACGCTATCTTACTTTGGTTTCTCTTCTATAGATCATGGGGACTTACCCTCAAGTCTTCCTCCGTTTTAGAATGCAAAAACACAAAGCCTTGAAAGCTTCTGTAGCATTATATGGAAACTAAAAGTGAAAAAAAAAAAATCTCCTGCCCCTGAAAATTCCACTTTACTCACAGCAACAGCTCTGAGGTTCAAGGTTTCAAGGTCATAGGGAAGGAAGATGAGGAGTAAAGAGGAAGTACTTAATTTGCTCTTAAGAAAGTATTTTCCCCTTACGTAGGACCTCAGAACTCCTTCCATTAGACAATTCTCAGTTCTGCCTTCTAAGAATGAAGACACAAGCTCAAACATTTCCAAAGTGGGCTACCTTCATTTGCTTCTTTCCTCCTTGTCCCCAGCTTGCTGAGTTGTGGGAGGAAGCACTTCCCTGAGAGCCGGCGGTGTTCCAGACTCCTCCATCATCCTCCTCTTCCCAGCTGGGATGGCGAGTTCCTGTCACTGGACCGTCACTCTCCCCCCAGCCGTCTTGCATAGATTTGGAATCTTTAAGAAAAACAAAAACAAAAACGGATGGACTGTATGCAACAGCTACATAGAACAACCACCACAATGATCGGTACTTACGAATGCGGCGTTCTGGGATATTTGTAATCTTACCAAATCCCTCCATACGGCGAGGCAAATATTCTAGCCCCTTCTTCATTCATATTACCCAGACAAAGGACAAGTATAACTATAGCTTTAACTACAGAGGATCCTTAGGAATAAAAGACTTTCTTAAAATCTGGAGAAAAGTGCAAGTTTTGTGATGGAGGAAGGGTGAGCCTGAGGTTGGGAAAGACACATGAAAGTCCTGACGGTACTGGTTAGGGTCAGGTTAACGTCTTTGCCAAGGGTCTGGTTAATGTCTTCCACCAGCATTCTGGATCTATTTCAAATCCACGGCATGGTACTTCCCATGATGATATAACCAGTTTTACAGTGAAAACCATGATGAAATCAGGTCTTTATAAAGCGATTTCTATGAAGTGAAGGAGATTGATAACTTTTAAAATGCAGTCAAAACACACAGGCACAAGGATGAATTTCTAGAATACAGCAGAGATTGTACTTCTTCATGGGCGCTAGAAGAGTCAGAATTATCATACGAGAAGACTGACAACAGAATTTCTCATTCTTATTCAAATTTTGAGCATTCTGTATGACCACATTAAAAAAAAGAAGGCAATTCTTTAAGTCTGCAATATGGCGAAAAGAGATGTTGGAATACTTTTTAAAGAAAACTACAAACAAGTGAAAATGGGCACTTGAAACTGAATTTTTCAACCGAGGAACTTCCAAGGAGACATTCCGTAGCATCGGTTTACAAAGTTTTGCAAATGACTGTGACAACACGTTGCCAGCTGGATCAAGTAAAGCTGAGACTTTCAATGGTTATGAATAAGTGCGGCATGCTTTGTGGAAAAAATTCAAACGAAGCAATCTTTGTTGGGTTCAAGAAACCCTCAATGTTCCTATGTGGGTGGAAGTATGAGAGGAGAGACAAATGGACAAGGAAGAAACAGAAGGGTGAAGTCACTGAGCAGCAGACACTATGTTCCACATTAAAAGCCAGGAAAGCCTTTTTAAATTATAGTAACAAAGGGGCAGAAATGCAAAATAGACATGGTGAGCGGTGTCTAAGTTACTGGCCAAAAAAAAGTACGTCAACATTTCAATTCTGGCCAGATATTAAACCTAACTTAAAATCAACAAAATCAACTTCCAACTTTTAATTCAATGTAAACATGTTAAGATACCCAAAGCTATGTCACGGCCATCTGTTATTAATCCTCTATTAAAGGTTCATGGTCCTGCATCTCACTGAAGCGAGAGTTAACATTACAAAAGCCCTCACAAAAATGTCTGACCTCCGAATTAACGGAAAATGCCTCACAGATAATGCTCTAAACTTACTGGGTTTCATGGCATTTGGAGCGTTGGAGGGGGCGTTCCCCCAGCCTGTGGTCGATGCTCCTGTGTCGTCCATTTCGCCCCACCCAGGACTGCTTTCATTTGGCTCACCCCAAGCTGAAGTACCATTATCTGGAGCAGGTGGTGTGCTTTTGCTCCAGACTGTAAAGAAAGAAAATGTGTCTCTAAGAATGGTTTGTTAAATGAAACATCCCAACACCCAGGGGTGGAAGGTGGGGAGAAGGGGGACGAAGTGGGACTCCTATGTTCCCCTGGTAGAGATGCAAATGGGTTTCAGCCTCATAGGGGGCAACTGGTATTGTGGCTTTAACTTTAGGCCCCGTAATTCCATCGCCAGGAAATTATACAACAGATATACTTGGAAAGTATGTGAAATGATATGCACAAGGATGCTCTATCTCTGTTGGGAGCTCTTTGGAAGCAACCTAAATACCTATCAGAAAGGGGCTAGTCAGACCACTGTGTCATCCATGAAACCAATAGTGTACACGAAACAAAAGACAAAATGTACATGCTAACATGGAAAGTTTTAAAGTATGGTGAAAAAGGCAAGGCGGAGGGAGAACAGCAATCCCTTCTGTGTAAAATCTGTAAAGGGGAGACACATTTTGCTATTGGTAAGGAACAAAATTTTTGAATGAGACATAAAACTCTAAGAGATTACCTGTGGGAAGAGACCCTTAAGGGCTAAGAGTCTTTTATTTATTTCATTTTGCTTTTCTGTACAGTTTGAAGGTTTTTACTATATGGATAATTGGGGTTTTTTTTTTACATGTTACCAGATTTCATACTAGATAGGGAATTAACAAACAGTATTTATTTCCTTCCTCATTCTTTTCAGTATCTTGGGGGGTGGGGAGAACTAGTTAAAAGCAATCATTCTGTAAGTGGCCATAACTGCACTCACTGAACATTCCCCAAGATGTACTCAGGGAGTGGAAAACTAAATATGAGTAACTTTAACTAAAAAACAAAAACCACCCCACCTGAACAGTGCACTCCTGTAATTTGTTGAATTCTATGCTTTATGGGGACATTCAAGCGGACAGTGCCAAAGATGATATTACAAGCGCTACTTTTAATTTATCAGGTATGATGTTTCTATTCAAATAAAGGAAGAAGAAAAGTATAATTCTGGGCAAGTGATTATCAGGAGAGAACAATTTCTTTTACAAAGTATTCCACTTCCAGAGGTGATCGTTAAAAATCATCTGGAGAGGGACTGAAGCCTTCCAGACGCCAGCTGTGCTAGAGCATTCTGATGGCTCCTGCAAGAGTAACATAAAATACTTCCCTTTGCTGAGGAAGGAGAAACACCGAGGATGTGTCCAGGGGTAGAACTCAAATGGAAACCAGGTCTATTTCTGCTACTCTTTTAATTCTTCGTTTTAAAACCTGGAGTATAGTTCGTTTAGTGACATATATTTTTTGGATTCTGCAGACCAATACAATTACAAAAAAACAAAAACAAAAAAAATCCCACACAAAGCAAAAACCCCCAAAACTTTGGGAGACTAACACAGGGATGCCATCTTTTTCCTTCTGCCAAGAAAGAACATTAAAATGTACCACCAGCATCTGTTATCACTATCATCTTATACAAAGAGAGATTCTCTTAACAGCAGAGTAGGGTAAACGTAGGAAAGCTTTCCAAAACGAGGCTAGTTGAGTAAATGAAGCTTAATAAAAATGCCCTCCTTTAGGATTTTTCTTCATCAAACCCACAAGAAAAAGCCACTGCCTACCTGATGCTGATTTACTGGTCATCGGGGTAGGCAGGTTTGGTTCTCGAGGTGCTGGGCCCCCTTGGGAATTCTTATCCCACAGATTCACATTCTTGTAGTTATAACTGTTAGGGTCTCCCCATGCTGAAGTGCCATCGTCGATGTCCATTTTCCGACTAATTGACTGTGGGGATGGCTCTTCCCAACCGCTGGGTTCCTCGTCCTTAGGGGTTACCGGCTGTGGCCCGCTGCTCCAGTTGGAATTGGAAGGTCGTCCGTTGCTTGGAGGTGCTGGGGGTGGGCCTCCCCATGAACCAGACGCCTCTGGTTGTGGTGGCGGTGGCTGCTGTGGCTGCTGCTGCTGTTGGTGCTGTTTATTCCAGGAATTGGGCTGTCTGCCTGTCTCAGTCCATGCCGGAGACCTTTTGCAATCTTCCCAACCGCCTTTGGAAGCCAGGCTTGTATTCCCACTGTTCCCCCAAGTCCCGATTTCATTCTGCCCTCCTTCGCCCCACCCAGACACAGGTTTACTTGCAGGACTTTCCCAGCTGCTGTTTTTCGCCTGATCGACTTCCTCTCCCCAACCATTCTTCCCAGAAGTCCAACCTTGATTGGGCTGGCGTCCCCCTCCCCACCCCTGATCCTTGCTGGAGTTCTCATTCCAAGAGGAAGATGTCTTTTCGTCTGGTCGTCCGCCTCCCCAGTTGGAAGAGTTGTTGTTCTTGTAGTCATTCCAGCCTCCTGTGTTCTTGGGGTCTTTCCACTCTGTAGAGGCTGAGAGCTCCCCCCATCCAGACTTCATTTGATTGCTTTGGCTGGGTGCATCTCCCCAGCCCCCTGAGTTCTTGGTCTGTGTGGCAGCGCTCTCCCACCCCTCAGTTCCTTTGTCAGATTTCCCCTCAGGCCTTGGCACCTCTTCAATATCCCACACTGTGTCCTGCTTAATTTGAGTTTGGCCCCAGCCAGTGTTTGAGAGCACCCTGGGGTCCAAATCAGTTCGGCTCAAAAGAGTCTGTAAGACAGCCTGACAATCAGGATGTGTGGGCCGGTATGACCGACGGCCAGAATTATGACTGTCACTACTTCCTGCTTTGTGGTTGCTTCCAGTGCTTTGACCTCCAACTTCACTTCCTGTGGAGCTGGAAGATCTTCCCCAACAGGGAGCCTGGGCATTGCCTTGGTTTTCAGGGAGGGGGTGGCCCTTTTGATTGTCCCATGCTCCAGTGCTAGAATTTGGTTGGTTTGGACCACTCCATTCTCCAATTTTCAACTCATCAGACCCAGTCGGCTGTTTCCATTCTCCCTGAGAGACCCCAGATGTCATTTTGTTCCCTTCACCCCATTTGTTGTCATTAGAGTCCTGAGGGCCAAAGTTCCAGGACCCACCCGTAGACCTGTTACTGTTGTCCCAAGAGTCATTTTTTGACCCAGTTGATTTCTGAACAGAAGCTCCTTTCCAGGAGTCCTCTCTATCCTTTCCATTGTTCCCATTGTTTCCAGAATTGCTTTGTCCAGAGGCTGTGTCAGTTCCAGAAGGCCCCCTAGCTGCACCCCAAGATCCAACACTCCCAGTCTTTCGATCTCCAGTGCTTTGTGAAGGGGCATCAGTGCTCCTGGAGGCGTTCCCCAAGCCCATTCCAAAGGGCATTCCCTTATTCTCCATGGGGTTTGGTGAACTTAAGTTCAAGGAGTTAGTGTTTCCATTTTTTGGTCCATCAGTGTTATGAATTTGAGCCTGTTCTCTGCCAGAGACAACAAAATTCACACCCGCATTTTCCATCTTTGACTGCTGTTCCCTGGATGCCTGACCTACTGTGCTAACCTGTGCACTGGAATTACTAGTATCCGTTTCCAATGCCCCTTTCCTAGGATTTCCTTCTTGGACCAGCGCTGGCCAGGCAGATGGGTTGCTATTTGGGTTAAAGTTGCTGAAGCCAGAGCCAGGTCCAATTCTATCCTGACCACTCACATTCCTCCAATTTCCTAGTCCATTGTTGCTCTCTGTAGTAGAGTTGGAAGATTGAACAGATTTAGTCTTAGGGTCAGATTTCCAGACCCCAAGATTACATTCGTTTCCAGAACTTGCAGACTGGCACTGGCTCCCTTTTCCTTTGTTACTAGTGGTGCTTCCTGGCAGAGTGCTCTTCTCAGAGCCAGGGTTCGAGGCACTGTTGTTATCGGTGGTGTTTTCGGAAGAAGACTCAGTGTCTTTGCTGGCAATACAAGGCCACTCTTCCATGTCAGACCCGTCTACAATCACCTTGTCCCAGATGTGAATTGGGTTGGGGGAGGCGCCGTTGTTGGAGGAGGCTCCCGGGCCCCAAGTGGAATTTGCATAATTTGAAGCAGCAGCACCTCCAAGGGTTGACTCTGGGGAAGAGATGGTCTTATCAATCACAGCTACACACGTACGCTCTGTTAGCACCTCAAGCTCAAGCTGCCCCTAAGAGAGCTCACCACGTTTCCCCACAAACTCACGTCTCTACCCAGCTGCCTGTCTCGGTAAACTGTGTCCCACCTCTCTTAGTCACCTCTTCCGTTTCATTCTGCCTGGTTGGTTTATTTGCTAGGTCTAACTCCACAGCATCTCTCAAAGCTATCCCCTTATCTTTTCTTTTTTTTTTTTTAAATGTTTATTTTTCAGAGAGCGCAAGACAGAGCACGAGCAGGGGAGGGGCAGAGAGAGAGAGAGGGAGACACAGAATCCAAAGCAGGGTCCAGGCTCTGCACTGTCAGCACAGAGCCCAATGTGGGTCTCGAACTCACGCACTGTGAGATCATGACCTGAGCCAAAGTTGGATGCTTAACCGACTGTGCCACCCAGGTGCCCCTCTCCTTGTCTTTTCTGTTGACAGAGAAGGGCCTTCTCCTATCTTGAGACAATGCAGTAGCACCCTGAACTTGCTTTGTATCTCCAATCTACTCTAAACACCCCGGCTAGAGTAATTGTTCTAAAGCACACCTTCGATTAGATCACTGCCGTAGGGGAAGCTTCCAACAGTTTCCTAGTGCACAAGAATAGAGCTAGACTCTTTGGCCTGGAGTTTGATCAGGATGCTGCATAACCTGGGAAATGATTTTCTAATCTTATCTTCCACTGTTTTCTATGTAGATGTCGACATTCTACACTATTTGACGTTCCACAACTTGTGCCTTCTCACTTTGGCACCATTCCACATTGGCACCTACTGGTTTTTCCTCCTGAATGCATATACTGAAATTTATTCATCTTTCTGGGTCTACTTCAAGTGCCGTTTCTTCTATGACATTTTTTTTTGTTTTTAAGTTCATCATCTGAAAATAACCTTTCCCTGTCTAGAGCCATTTTGCTCAGTGTTGTGGTGCCGTGTTCACATCTTCCTTCCCCCACCTTAGCTCAGAGACTTCCGTAAGAGCTCCCCCTCTGAGGCAGAGACCCTATCTTGCTCACGTTTGAATTCCACATAGTGGCCAGTGCATTGCTGCTCAGGAAGCACCTGATGAATGATGAATGCCCACCCACCTAGATGCTAGGGCAGGCAAGCATGCATCAATGTGTATGCCCAAGGACCTTAATCTGATAAATGAGTCTGGCTCAATACATACTTTGATGGAATTTATCCTATTTGCTGGGGGGAAAAATGACATGCTTTTAACCCAGTAATTTCTTCTAAAGTTGTTTTAGTTATTTTAACCAAGTAGTTTTAAATCAATATAAAGTTGAAAAAAGCCTTACAGAAAGCCATATAAAAGCAGGGAAGCAGAGAATCTCAAACTCTTCAGATGTAGGGGCCTCCTTGGTTTTAAGAACGCAAACAAGAGAATTTGACTCGCACTGGACCCAGACCCCTGTCTGCGTCCAGGCCTGGCTGGACTGAGCTGCAGAAACACTCGACATGACTGCTCCTCACATACTTCCTTTTGCAAATGCTTATGATGGGCCAGGAAGGAAGGGCCATGAAGCTTTCGCTTGCTTGCTTTGGGTCTGACCTGACGGCCACCATAGAAAAGCCTGGATGAAGCCTCTGTCCCCATGAGGTTTTTCTCCATCTTTACTCTGCACATGAGACAGTAATAGTTTTCTAGGCAATTCTGTGTTCAAACTCAGAACTAGAACTAGAAGCATGCTACAGTTGATAATAACCAATTCACTGTTCTTAACAAGGCTTGATGGTGTTCAAGCCTTTATAGAACAGCCTCAAAAAAATTTTTTTTAAGAGCTAAGTAGAACTCTGTTAATAAGCTTTAAAAAGAGCGGGAGGTGATGCTTGGAGGTTCTTTGCTATTAGGTGATTTAGTATTCATCTATTAAAAACTCTCAAAACTTCTAGTAGAGCCTTTCAGCTAAAGATACCTTACGTCTACATACAGGTTTTAACAGAGCTCAAACTCCTCTAAAGAAATAATGATTTTAAACATCTAACATAAAACAATAGAATGATACTGTTTGGTATCCACCCCCTCCCCCGCCCCCAATTCTACACTGTAATCGAAGAGATGATTCTCTCTCCACCCCCAGCGTTCTAGGAACATAAACTCAGGCAGCCAGGATTCAGAACAAGCGCCTGCACTGGCCCCACCTCCAGCCACACCCTGGGCACACACTTGTGGTGACAGCTGGGACCACGAGGCTGGAGTTTATAATGCGCTTGTCAGAAAAGGAAACAAGGCCCCAAATGGTGACGACGAACGGCAGCCACACTGGCCTCTCACGCCAGCAGCACACCCTGGACACTAAAAGCCAGTTTCAGAAGGGAAGTGCCGGGACACCTCTCATTCAGGGGTCCTCTCCCATCCTGGGAGGGAACCCGAGGGTCTTCTGGGGACTCTCTACCGGGCAGCATGACAGACGTGTTCGCTCTCTTTAAAGCTGCCAGGAAGTCCCTTCCGGCCGGGCTCCTCACCTGGTGCAGTCCCGCCGTCACTCTGCAGCGGCGTCCCTGTCACTTGTGCGTTGCTGGAGTTTGCTCCGGGTGCCGTGGAGGGAGGAGGCCCTGCCCCACCCCCGAGGAGCATGCAGGATGGTGGAGGGGGCTGCCCACGTTTTAGTAACACTTTGTGGTCCTGCTGGCAACGGAATCGCGGCGGCACCTCCCGAGGCATGTAGCGGGCGGCGCTTGGCGGTTGTCCGTTCGGCACTGCCACCCTTTTGGCATTGTTGCCACCATTGACTGGTGGCGACGGAGAGCTGCCAATTGGGCTGGCGGCCGCTGGTTGGCTTAAACTTGGTTTCGTCACTTCGGGCACTGAAAAAGAGAGATTGGGAAACAGTCTTTGAAATCCAATACATTTTTCTGAAGAGTGTTTTTAAGAGGGCTTACGTGAGACCCCTTCCAGTAATGGTCCTTCCATCCTACTGCGACTGGACGTGGTCTTTCTAAATCCCTACATCTTCAGTTTACTGGAGATCGGGCAGAGGTGGGGAGTGAGGGGGACGAGGACCTGAAGACAGCAGTACCACGGAACTCTAGTCCATTACTTAAGGGGAAGGGGGAAGCAATCACCATTCACTTCCCTAAATCCCCGAAAGGCTCCCTAGCAGGTCGAGGGATATATATATGGGCCCTCAATAAAGGTTCGAAGCTCTCAGCCCAAAGGCCTTTTATCCACATCCTTAAAGATCTACCTCTGGGAAACTTTTCCTGAAGTCCCTGGACCAGGTAGGCTAAGCACCTTCATTTTATCCGTCTTTCTTTACCATGAATTTACCATATTATGTTGAAATTCTCATTTATAGGCTCCTTGCTCTCACCAGGCCCAGAGTCCCTCAAGAGTGAAGACCCATCTTTCATCTTTTTTTCTCAGGGCCTGGCACAGAGAAGACCCCACAGGGACCCTCAGCCCAGGAGACTCACAAAATCAACTCGGTTTTGATTTCGACAGCTACCTGAAAAAAAACACTCTTGCTTGGCACTCTGTGTAAACCATTAGAAATGTTACAAGTTTTGTGGGTTTTTTGTTTTCGCTTTTGTCAAAAAAAAAAAAAAAATTTAAGGGTACTTTGTGTATTTATTCCAACCATTTAAAACAAAAATGTCAAAATGTAGGCATGTTTCCTATTTATTTTAAAGAATGTAATGTTTCACCTTACTTTTAAAAAGGGCAAACAGGAAGGATGGGAATGTGCAGGATGACCGTGTGAAGATGCGATCTGCAGGGCACTCTGCAGAAGTTGAGGGCTTTCCCCTCAGCCCTCCACAGAATGTCCTTCTAGATCTCTACGTCCCTTGCTTCTTCCTACCAAAAGACTACCACCCTTTCCAAGAAAATCTGCCTGGCAAACAGAGGCTGGCAATATTACAGAAACAATCATTGAGCCTGACAGTTCAGATGATTCTGAAGTCAAGTTCCCGGACATCCAGAGTAATATCTGGGCCAGCTCTGGGGCGGTACTGCCCTGACCACTGTAATGGTGCTGGGCCAGCAATGCTGCTCGTTGAACTGGCTCCTTTATGGAGAGAGAGAGACATCATCAGAATCAAGGGGCCCAATCTACCGATACCCATACCTCCACTGGGTATCGGTGAGTACGGGAGTAACAAGAAAGAGGAGCAAGAGCCTGAAGTAACTTCAAGGCAACCCATGGTCTAATTTCAGCCAATCATGAGGCAGTATTGGCTTTTCCAGTAAGGAAGGGAGGTCAGAGGATCCATAACCTGATGAGCAGAAGAATAAACCTATTTCTTAAGAAAATAAATTGGCCATTGCATGATACTATCAATATAGTAGGCTCTGTATGACCTTATAGCAGCTGATGGGTAAAAATAACTGATAAATGAGTGAAGAGGAATTATTCAATGATTCGTTTTCTCTCTGTGCCTGTAACATTCCAGAGCAGATGGCATTCCTAGTCCCCTTTCCTCTTATTATGATTAGAAACAAGACGCCGGCAAAGGCTGGGAGGATTCTTCCCAATTGGTTTTTAGGATGGAAGGAGCTATGCTTCCACAAGGCCACCCTTCCATAAAAGCTCTAGAATCTCCACTCTACATTAGTCATGTCTGTTACACGCCTGGACTCATTTCCTGAAACAGAGCAAGACATAGCAAGGGCAGCCCACAGCACGGAGGTCTGAAAATCAGTTCGACTAATGTTACAACACTCACAGCACAATCAAAGAAACTTGGTGGGTATCATATATTGTGCAAGATTCCTTGCAAAAGTGCCTCAGAGCACTTTCCCACCACGTCAGAGATAGAAAGGATCATAAATAATAAACCCTTTTTGAAATAAAATCAGACTACGTCTCAACCACTTTTGTTCCAGTATGGTGCTCTATTCTGGGGGACCAGTCACTCAAAATTCCGGGACACAATCAGAAAATGCCTGAGGTACATGGTAGGAGCAAACTGTGTTTCAGAAATTGAGTATGGTCTCTTTTGTTTGTTTTTTTATTTTTTTGAGAGAGAGCTTGAGCAGGGGAGGGGGAGAAGATCTGAAGCAGGCTCTGCACTGACAAGCAGTGAGCCTGATGCAGGGCTCGAACTCACGAACCACAAGATCATGATCTGAGCCGAAGTTGGGTGCTCAACCGACTGAGCCACCCAGGTGTCCCAGAACTTGAATGAATTCTTATTCGACACCTTTCTGTGATTTCAAGAATTAAAGCGTTTAGGGGCCAATCATAACTCGACATTAACTGGAGAGCAATCAGCTATTAGGCAGGAGGCCTGATCCAACTTGCTTCCCAAAGTCCACGCTTAGGACCTCCCAGCGTCAGGGTGAGCATTACAGCATGCCCCAGGATGTCCGGTGCTAACAGAGAAGATGGAAATTATGATGGAGTGGGAACTGCTTTTCAGGCCCTCTTGTTTCTCATCAGAACCTTACTGATTTGTAGGCTGTAGTGCAAATCTTTCTAAAGATAAGCTGCTCAAAATAAGGGCATAATTTCTTATCTCCCAGAGAAAAGGTCAGGGGCTTAAACATGATCTCTGTAGCAAAGGGAAACAAAGACATTGTGAAAAATGCTGGGTATCCTATTTTCTAATTTCCATTCATTGACTTCCAAAAACCATTTATTTACTCTAATGACTGAATCTTTTTCCTTTTCCTGGTTGCCGTTATTCTCATCTTACAGTCAACTTCAAAACTGCCTCTATTTCTGAAAAGCTTCAGTAAAATGCTACTTTTTCAGATAAAAGCATTAAGAAAATTCTGAAACAGGCTGGACCAATATGAACTACTACCTTTAACTATCTTGGTATTTAAACATGAAACATTAAAAAAAAACATTCTAGAAATGTTTTCCTTGTGATGGAAACTTTTTTGTGAGAGAGAGAGAGAGAGAGAAAACGAGCATGCGCACATACACACTCAAGCAGGGGAGAAGGGCAGAAGCGGGAGGAGAGAGAGAATTCCAAGCAGGCTCCGTGCGCAGTGTGGAGCTTAATCCCATGACCCTGGGATCATGACCTGAGCTGAAATCAAAAGTCGAACGCTTAGGCAACTGAGCTACCCAGGCACTCCCAGAAATGTTTTATTACAAGTAGTAGTTAAAACACATACAAGCCCTCGAAGAGATATTATTCTCAATTTATCGGTAAATAATCAGTGGTTCCAATGCAATACAACAAGAATCGCAGACTGATGACACACAGACAGTGGCTGCCATGCACTGAAGAGTCCTCTGTGACCTCTAAGCACTGCCTCCATTTCTTTACCTTGTACTCACTCCTCAGATTCCACGCACACTGGCTTTTGCCCTGAACATCTCCCTGGGAACTCTTCTCCTCATTCAACAACTAGTCATCTTCATTGCCAGTCTAATGGACACTCGTTGGACCTTCTCTTGACTTTTCTGCAACTTCGGACACTACTGGCCATATCCTCCCTCTGCTTTTGTGAGAGCTGCTGAGACCCCTCCAGTCAGCTCTTCAGCTCTTCCTTTCTCTCTTCCTTTGTGGGTTCTCACACTCTTGATCAGGGCTCAGCAGACTTTTTCTGTAACGGGCCAGACAGTAAATATTTTAGGTTTTGCTGGCCATACAGTCTTGGTTGTGATGACTCAACTGTGCGTATTGGCAAAAGCAGCCAGAGACCACACGTAAACCATGATGTGGCTGTGTTCCGTTCAATACCGATCTCACTAAAATATAAATTTCATACCACTTTCATTGTCACAAAATACTCTTTTATAATTTTCCTAATCACTGAAAAAATGTAAAAAACATTCCTAGCTCACGGGCAATACAAAAACAGAATTAGATTTGCTCAGAGGGTGAGAGTTGGCAACCTCCTAATCAGAGTTGTAAGATGGCACCCAAATTTGGTTATGAGTTGTGTCTTTATTAACAAAATTTTTTTTAATGTTTACTTTTGAGAGAAAGAAAGAGAGAGCGAGGGCGCAAGCAGGGAAGGGGCAGAGAGAGGGAGACATAGAATCTGAAGCAGTCTCCAGACTCTTGAGCTGTAGCACAGAACCTGACACGGGGCTCAAACCCATGAACTGCAAGATCATGACCTGAGCTGAAGTTGGATGCTCAACCGACTGAGCCTCCCAGGTGCCCTGAGTTGTGTCTTTTTAAAAAATCTGAACATGAAGGTGGGGCCTACACTCTTCCCACATTTAAGTTACTTGAGTACAAACTCCCCCATGCTCAGACTTTTTTATGTCCAAGTGCTTCCCAAATCACTACCTCCAACTTGGATCTTTTCAACCCTTCTTTCTCTTATCCTCAAACTTGTTCCCCAAATCTCCCCGTCATCTCTTAGTTCAAGAAACAAGAGTCATCACCCAACCAGCTTCTCAAGTCAGAAACCTGGAAGGCACTGCAGACTTTGCTTTCTTCGCGCATCATTATCTGATCATCATTACATTCCACTGAACCAAAGCATGTCTCCAATGCTTTCCTTCCCCCCTCTCTATCACCAATGCTCCTAATCAGGTTCAAGTCCTTGTTACCTCCCATCTGGACTATTCTGTGCCCATCTATCTCAACCACATGCCTTATGCCTCACAATCATTCACTTTCAAGTGGCAGCCACAACCATCTCTGAACAAATGGTTCCCACCTTGGTGTTAGAGAATAGAAGTGTTTCTACAAGGTATAAGGGATACTGCAAGTAGTTTTGTTTGTAAAGTGTTTACTTGGAAGGAAAAACCCATCTCAAATCTTAATAAATTAGAGTAGACTCACGTTATCCCAACCACCACCAGGCACTCACTGAATATGCCTTCTGGGGTAGACTCGAATTGTGGCTGATGTACCACAATGACCCATCACCCCCGATACGTTGATGGGAAGGCTCTGTCCCTCAGCCGTGCCCCAGGTGGGGATCAGGTCATGGGACTAATGCTGTGGATGCTAATATCTAAAAATATCAAGTTATATTGAGCTGGAGGCTTTTCCCTGTTGCTTTGACTCTCACCATCAGTATTTCTGGTAGCAGAGTAAGGCTCACCGAACAAAACACCTAACACACATTTACCATGAGAGACTGCTAAGCATCAGGCACCAGAGCCCTTCAAATCTTTGAAGACCATTACCTGAGCTTCCTCAGGTAGGGGCCTTCCCCTGGGGGGTTAGACATTCCCACATGTTTAACCCTTGCAAACATGATACAGGGTCAAATTCATTGACCAATCTGGCCCAAACCGCACTGGCTCCACAGAGGTTGATCTGTTTCTTTCCACAGTGTTGGGCCTATTACAGAAACTGCAAATCCCCTCCTAGATGCTGTGCTCCTGCTAATGCCACTTAAGGTCAGGTTAATTCTTATCAATCAGTCATTTCATACTGATAACTACACGTTTAAGCCAACCATGACCCTAACAGCTTTTTCACAGTGCAAAATTGCTATGTCCAAACGCCTGTGTTGTACAGCCTCTCCTAATCTTATCCTTCACCCCTGTTTTACCTGGTCTGTTACATCAACAGGATAGGCTCTTGAGATTCTTTTTTATTTTTTTAGCTTTTTAATTTTTAAATTTATTTTTTAAATATTTATTTGAGAGAGAGAATATATGTGGGTGCACATGTGGGGGAGGGGGGGGAGAGAGAGAGAGAGAGAGAGAGAGAGCGAGAGGGAGAGAGAATCCCAAGCAGACTCCGTGTGTCACTGCAGAGCCTGATGTGGGGCTCGATCTCAAGAACTGTGAGATGATGACCTGAGCCAAAATCAAGAGTCGGACGCTTAACTGACGGAGCCACCCAGGCACCCTGACTCTTGAAATTCTAAGTCCAACATCCAACAAGGGGGGATATCAGCCTCTACGTTAAGTGCTTTGGACTGTTTACAGGCTAGCAGGCCCACGTCTAGTCCATGTCTTCACAGAACCTCCACTTGAAATCCTGCCCTATTCTCCAGAATTTTTTTTTTTTTTTTAAAATAAGGAAGATAAAGAGAGAACATACAATGACTCTGCTTTTTCTCTGAAATAGGGACAAATCTGACCTCAGTCCTCTGTACATACACTTGACACCAATAGAGTTGTTTTTCTTACAGGGCTTCCTGGGGAAAGAGGGGCAGATTCAGAGTTACAGGGAGACTACCTGAGTAAGGTACCACCTTTGGGAAGAGGAAAAGGACCCAGAAACATCAGCTGAGCGAAGTGAAGAATGGGATTTAGAGTGCAGACAGGCTCTTGGGAACAAACATAAAGATGTGTCTGAAGTGGGGTAAAAACCCAGAAAGGTCAGGCCTACCATTAGGCCACATCTTCATATACCCTCCCTCCACTTGAAATACTGTCCTATTCTCTCCAGAATTCCCAGTTTTCCTCTGCCTCTACTTACAGTCTAACAGACTCCAGAGATCATTTTTATTTTTACTTCTGTTTTCTCTGTGGTTCTACTAAGTAAGTTCTTTAGGAGACCTGAAACAGGCTCTCATCTTTCTTTAGGATTATTTTACTTTCATTTTTTCATGGGGGTGGGGGTAAGGTGGAAGAGTGTGGAAACTGTGAGGCTGTATTCCATTTTATGGTAGGTGTGAGAGGGTCCTAATCGGAAAGAAAGTTCAGTAGTAAGTAGAAAAGAAAGTTTGATTTTTAAGATTTTGGCAGAAGGAAGAGGAATGCATTTCTGAGAACAGACGTAGAGGAAAAAAAAAAATCTGAGAAGGAATGCCTTAGTGAATTTTCGATTTTCCAGTAGAAACACCATGTACCATACTTGTTTCCATAGCTTAGCTGGTACGTGGCTTCATGAACATTAGAGTTGTGGCCAGGCCCAGGAACCAAACCACCATGTTCCAACAACCACAGAGCCCTGATTTTCCAGGAAAATGCTAATTTTTTCATCTGTTGTCCCCATAAATCATCAAAAAGTCCTATAAATATAAATACTACGTGCCCAAATCCTTTCCTAGACAGTATGTTGGTTTAGAAAATATGGACACTGTACCACTATCAAGAACTCTATTTTTATGGTAAAGTATAACTTATATTTCAAACAAGAAATTTATAAACACACTTCCAAATAAAGCCCATTTCTGGGTTGGTACTGCCTGAAAATACAAGGGAAGAACACTATTCTAAGTAATTAAGATAATCATAACTAATTATATTTCTTATCAGTTTATTTTCTAAATCACTACAAGGTCCCGGACTACATTTGCCCTGGAAATGCCTTTTGGTTAGAAATACATTACAATATTGTCTACTCATCTGAGAATTTACTTTCCAGAACTAAGTTTCCTTCCAAACTAGCACTGTCTTTATTAGTTCTCTATTACTGTGTGACAGGCTTTGGCCTGGTGGTCCAATAATAGAAAATAAAACCAAGAAGAAATAAATCATTAGAAGGCCTCCCATCACATGTTGGCTGATCCAGCGTCCTGACCTTCCTCCGAGTCATCACAGTCCTATATGATTCCCTTCACCTGGGGCAGTGGTTCTCAACCTGGGACATGTCCCGGGGGCACCTGTAGAGCTTCTCAAAATACATCTGCTAGGGCTGTGGCCTGAAGGTTTGGAAGGAGGCCCACGGTTGTGTATTTTGACAAGTCATCAAACAAGTGATTTTAATGCGTACCCTGGTTGAGAACCACTCATTTAAGTGGGCAAGGATAGGAGATAGAACACTGGTCTCAAGGAACGAAGTCTACCACTCTGAAAGGGAACTGACCAAAAGTGTGGCCAATACCAGACCAAACTGCATAATCAAAATTGACCGAAGAGAGAGAGATATGAAAACACAGAGACCAATGAGTTGAGGGTGATGTGAGGGACATCTGCTTATGTTTACAATACATCACTGTTTTAACAGGGTTAAAATTCATTATTATTATTATTATTATAATTTTTAAAAAGGGTGTTCCAGGCTTTAGCTCAGAAGACCATGTGACCAACCTAGACACAACACTCCCTTGCAGGCTCAGTGCAGGCCATGGATCAAGATGGTTAAAAATCTTCTGCAATTCTGTAAATTAGGGGCTGGTGTTTTGTTTTGTTATTGTTTTGAAAAGGCTCAGTTTAAAATCATGATCCATATACTTTCAAAACAGGGTATTACTTTTTCTAATCTCTTTTGCCTCCTAAAAAATTTAAGGCCAACCAGAAACACTACTACAAGTACTTTTAATTTATCATTACTGCTCTTCAGTGGCTGCAAACAACCAATTTAATTACTCTGCACCCACTCTCACTAATCAAGTGGATTGGAGGCTGAGTCAGCAAGAGTGTAAAATCTAAAACAGAAGCTTCCACCAACTTAGAAAGGGAAAAAAAAAATCTTACCTTTGGTTTTTTGTTCCGTGACCTGAAAAAATAAATGAACAGACATAAGTGAATGAGATTTACCTTCTAGTTCGCTATTATAAGACTACTTTAATGCTGATTAACTTAAGTGATTCAAGCTGTCAGACACACAGGCATAGTTCAAATGCAGAAAAAAAAGCTGACAGTCAGTTCGGACATCTTTCTATAAAGACAACGGCCATATGTCCAGTTATAAAATACATGACCTTCATTATGAAGGACACTAAAAATTAAAACCAGAAGCATTCCACTCTCATTAAATGATGAAGTATCTGTATCAGGAATGCTGCTTGTCATTTTGATAATCTGAGTAGAAAGCAAACGACGTAGCTTAGAAACAAAATTAGCCATAGAGACAAAAAGGTTACCCCGGGAGTATGGACTCAAATACTTGATCTCAAATCTAGAAAACAACAGTTCAAGGGCCCATCATCAGAAGTATCAGAGGCCATGGCAGGAAGGCAGGATTTAAAACCAAGCCATGCCACTTCCTGGCTGTGTGATCTGTTTTCTATTTATCTGTTGAATGGAGATAATAATAGTATCTCTATACAAAGGGTTGTTATAAGGATTAAATTGGATATCCTATGCCAATGCTCAATAAATGTTTGTTATTTCTAATCAAAGTTCACAGAAACAGTGTGATATACAGCAGTGAGTGAAATATGTAAATTTTGGACAAATGAAGACTGCTTTGTTGAAAGTATTTCTTCTTTACAGATTAACTAACACATTTATGGAAGTGATTAACCTAAAAGACTAGACAGGATGAATAGAATAATGGGTTTTTAGAGAGTTTAGAAATGATGATTAGGAGCCACATGGAAAACTGCTTCTGCTATTAAGAGAGGAAAATAAAGGAGGGCACCTAATTATATATGTCTTATAATATTAAAACAAAACCACAAAAAGCCATGCATACGAAGAATATCCAAAAGAAAATGCGCCAGAATTCTAACAGGGCTTCTATTATTATTACCACCACCACCACCACCACCACCATCATAGAGATCATGCATGATTTTGACTCCCCTTTCCCAAATGTTAATCTTCCAAAGCACTTTGAATGGTTCTCTGACTTCCAATAGAAAAGAAGATGTTTGATTATTTCTGGCTGGTAGTCATGCCACGTTCCTACTCTGGGTGCTCATGAAAACTTGCCCATCTTTGCAGAGTATGTCCTATAGCTAACCAGCCCACTTCATAGTGGATGGCATCACCCCAGACTCGGACTCTGAGTTAAAGGATCTGGTTGTATGACCTCCAGGAGCATTCCTTACATTCTTATATTAAAAGCCAAGTTAATTCTACTGTACTGAATTTGTAGTAGACAGCATCTTAAAATGTGTTTCCATGAACTAATTATTACAGAGCTCAAGTCTACTGTGCAATTTTTCTAAAACTCTAACCAACAATGAACTAATTTGTCTCCACATACCAATTCCTTAAGGCAATTTAAATTTTATAACATCATAAATATTTCTTAGAATACCATTAAAAAATTTTTTTAATGCTTTTTATTTATTTCTTAGAGAGAGAGAGAGAGAGAGCGAGCAGGGGAGGGTCAGAGAGAGAGGGAGACACAGAATCTGAAACAGGCTCCAGGCTCTGAACTAGCGGTCAGCACAGAGTCCGACACAGGACTCAAACCCACGAACTGTGAGATCATGACCTGAGCCGAAGTCAGACACTTAACTGACGGAGCCACCCAGGCGCCCCTACAATGCCATTTTGAAGATCAAGTTATACAGGAAGTCAGTGCTTTCCCCAGCTGTAAGTGACAAACCCAAATAATGTCAAATGTGTCTTACAATGTGGTTTCTGTTAAAAGAGCTGTCCTCCAGACGGTGAAAAGCTGCAGGATCAAAGCATGTGTTCTGCCAACACTAAACAATGATCCTTTTGCAGCATCTGCTTAATGAATGTGAATGGAATCCTTCCTTGACACCTTTCTCATGAATGAAAATTGAACACAGTTTACTCAGTGATGGCTCTAGAAAGAGCAAACTGCTCACGAGAAAAGCTCAACTTTAATGTCTGTGTGGAAATAATTTAACTTAAAATACAAGTCAATTCTTCAAGACAATTACATTGCCAGCACTCCTTCTTGACCATGGATTTATTAAACAAACATTTGAGTGACTCTTATGTACTGGGCACTGACCGCCCTACTTCCTGGAAATACAAACAGGAATAAAACCTTGACAAATGTACAGTCTCACAGGGAAGGCAGACATGAGGAGATGATTACAAAGCACTGGGGTGAGCAGCGAGAAGGATGTGGAAGCACCGCAAATCGTGCTGATTGAATGAATGAATGGCTGCGTAATAGAACCCATGGCACATTCTCTACAGTTCTTTGCATCACAGCAAATTTTATGCCTCCTGGTTGAGGCGCTGTCTCTACATTAAGGTTGGAAACCACCAAGACAATCACATGGTAAGCTTTGTACTCTTTCCTAAAACTGCTAAATCAGAATCTGATTCTGAAATTAAACAATGGTTCAGGATGATAAAACAATATCCAAGGCCACGTGTTGGCCTAGGTCTTGTGGCAGCCAATCTAGAACATTTCTGAACAAAAATGACTGAATTTTTATTGTTCATTACCAGCCATTTGAAATTTTAGTTATGGTGATTTTTCTCTTTGCCGTAACTTTGGAACTAGTTCTTAATACAGATGCAAGTACAGAGGGGACACTGTCCAGCTGTATATTTTTAGGGGCGCCTGGGTGGTTCAGTTGGTTAAGGTCTGACTTCAGCTCAGGTCATGATCTCACGGTCAGTGAGTTCGAGCCCCGCCTCAGGTTCTGTGTTGTGAGTGCAGAGCCCACTTCAGATCCTCTGTCGCCCATTCTCTATGCCCCTCCCCTGCTCTCTCTCTCTCCTAAAAATAAACATCAAATTTTCATTTTTTAATGTTTATTTATTCATTTTTGAAAGAAAGAGAGAGACAGGGTGGGGAGGGGCAGAGAGGGAGAGGGAAAGAGAATCCCAAGCAGGCTCTATGCTGGTGGCGGGGCTTGAACTCACAAACCATGAGATCATGACCTGAGCTGAAACCAAGAGTCGGATGCTTAACCATCTGAGCCACCCAAGCGCCCCCATCCCAATTTGCTCTTGAATAAACCCACACCATCTGGTATTTCAAATCATTTTTCTATTAGTGGGATCCACAGCAAAAGTTTACAGATGCATATACTATAAATCACTTCCAGATACTCATATTGTCCAGGTGAGAAACACTGTTACCTAAGTGAAGGATGTAGACTGTACAGTGTCTGAAATAACCCCTCCATTTGGTATCTTCTTGTTACCAGCCATGGCTCAAGTTCATGAGTGTCCAGCCTATGAATCATTCACACAGACTGTAAAACCCAATTTTTATATCAATTTAGTCGACGAAATGTGAATGCCCTAGAGGAAAGCAAGCCTTCACTGAGGTTCACTCTCCACCACTCAGAGCGGAAGGTCTGTGTGCGGAGGTGGTGCCGACAGCTGGTGGACTTGGTTATCACAACCTCAAAATGTGAAATGGGGATGTGTCCCCAAAGGGAAGGAACTATGAAAAAGGCCTCTGGGTCGTCCTCGGACATCTTTATTCAGACTCTTTACTGACATTTTAGACAATTCTAACAAGCTCAGATTAGAAGCAACACATTAGAAGCAGGTACCCTGAGAGTATGAGGGTGTGATGGTGAGCACATGACTATGAATAGAAACAGAAACACAATTAAAGGCAGACAAGAGCTTAAAGAGTGTGCACAGCAGTCTATTATAACACCAAACAATAATGAATATTACTTGTAATTAAGTCATGAGGAAAAAATAAAATTACATTCTGTATGTTTAATGTGGCAGGGTCATATGCAATCCAATTCGGAAAATATTTACAGCATCGTTTTTTTATGCTGGCACTCATAAATGATCTATTTCAAAAGTTCAGAAAACTGAATTACGGGAATATACACTACAGCTAATAATGCTGGGGAAACTCCTGGTGTCCCTTAGAGCCTACATTGGTTTGTGTCCGACTGCCTGCCTTGAGTCTATTCTAAATCTAGAGTTCCCTCTGAAGCCTGTAAGTTTCTGCCTCCCTAAACTGAGCTTCAATAACCGGACACCAGAGCAGGGACCCTCAAACCTGCCTCGCTGTGAGGTCCTGCTCCCCAAGGGCTCTGGGTAGTGGTAGTAAGAACTGGAGGCAAATCACTTTACCTCCAAAAAGGCACAGAAGCACACCCGCCGAGCCAGAGCCCTGTCTGGCAATGCTAACGAATGGGGAGGTGGGGGAAGTAAGGTCAAACAAGGGCGGGGGCTGCGGGGTACACACTGAGGCAGAGGACAGCACCCTTGGTCCAAGCACGTCAACTAAGACCTGTCCGTTGACAACAGCGAGACCTAGGTCTTCTCCTTTTAGCCTCTCTTCTTCCCTCAGCAAGCTCCTCAAATCCAGGCAATACCATCTCCCGCAAAGCTCTAAGCAGGCCCACCGGTCCCGTGAGGGAGACTTCTTTATGGGATTATCAGAAGGCAGACTCGTGCAAATGACCATGCTGTAGAGGGACCGCAAGGGGGACACTGGGGTGAACTACGGCAAGACCTGAAAAGTTATTTTATAAGCTGACCTAAGAAAATGGAGATTGACTGCGATACGAATAAGGAAATTTGGTAAGAATTTAAGTGGCGGGGATTCACTTGCCTTTCTCCAAACTTATACTGTCGTTCTCATTAAATCAGCTGCAGCATTATTGAGTATTTACTTTATGGTAACAAATGTAGGTCTTTAACTCCCACTTTCTGATCTTACAACTTCCAAGTAAATTAAGCAAGCAGCATTATTGAGATGTCAGGTATCTCACCCGAGGCAGTTACTTATTCTAGATGCGTGGTGGATGCAAAGACAGACGTAAGTAATTAAACCCACCTTCTGAGTGGCTTCTTTTTTCTTTTTCTCCTCTTTCTTCCTTTTCTTGTCTTCCATTAACTGTTCTTCCCTTTCTTGCTCCTTCTCTCTGTTAAAGTAATGTCACACCAGAAGGTTAACATCTTTATTCACAGTCTATTTGTGTAGCAAATTAAATGCTTGTAAACGGTACGCAAACCATGCCATCTCTCTGAGCAGAATATGGTATTTTACTTAAACTAAGAGGATGCATAAAACTCCCACATTTAGTTATCCGCATGTTTTGGTTTGTTATCTTTTCTGCAAAGTACGACATCAAGTTTGGTTTCAAAGAAGCCCATTAAAGTGAGCTTTACAATATCTTCCTAAAAGAGCACACGCAGACACACACACACGCACACGCACACACACACACACAGCAAAAATCCTGATTTAAATGTGACAACATCCAGTTGGCTTCTGGGAATATTCCTGAATTAATACTTGGTCTTCAAAAGTACAAGTAGAAAACACATAAAATACAGCATTAATAATGTCAAAGAAAAAGGAATATATATTTTTTGAAAGGCAATATTCCTCACAAATAATACAGAATATATTAATTACTTATGGTACACAGATATTTATCACAATTCAGATATTTTCCCCTGACATCTTCAGAATGGTGAATTCTATGTTCCATATTCTGTATTTTTCTTCTACATTATTAATGCTGTGTGTTTTACATGTTCTCTACCTGTGTTTCTAAGGCAGGTACCATGTGTCCTGTAAACCCATGTGTTATTCCTCACTAAGTGAGTTCAGAGTTGCATCTTCCTACGCACCTTACTTAAGACAACTGCTGCCCTCAATTAGAACAAAAATGATATATAATACTAAAGATTCTAGTTAAAGAAATGTGCTGGAATCTTAAGATATTAATATAATGTAATGCCTCATATCCAAAAAGTACCTTTAGAAAATAATATTTATTCTATTATGTAACATATTCTAATATATATTCTACTACAATGCATATAGTAAGCTGCCAACTCTCACTCCCTATGTATCAAATGCAGTGCAAAACTACTGCTGTCACCTCAGAGCTCTAGGCAGGAATGCCACGCTTACTGAAATTCAGAGCTGGAAGGAGAGTCTGAGCTCTAGTTCCCATTGCCCCCAAATACTGAACAGACACTTGTGATTTTAGGTGAGCCAACACATCACAGTCATGGTTTCATAGATACCATCTAGAAAAATGCTAAGTTACAAGTCAGACAAAGTAAATGCGTTAAGTAAATGTTTGCAGACGTGGCAAAAATCACAGGGACAGTTCTGGAAGGAATCACGCTTGGGGAGTGGTAACCACTCAGCCTGTACAAAGAAAGGTTCTGAGGACCAACACTGAAGTTGGCTCTCGTCAACGGATAAGTAATGCTTTATTTCTAGGAAACAAGAACGAAGCAACAACAACAAAAATAGGTGTTTTACCCATATGTCAAGCTTTCCGTGGTTCTGTCCACATTCACAAATATTGGCCTTTCTCTTTCTGTGCCTCTGGCATAAATATACAAAATCCTAATGTGTACAATTCACACTCCAAAGGTAACTTCAATGAAAACTTTAAAAATACAATCAAGGGGGTGCCCAGGTGGTTCCGTCGGTCAAGTGTCTGACTTCGACTCAGGTGATGATCTCGGGGTTCGTGAGCTCGAACCCCGCATTGGGCTCGCTGCTGCAGAGCCTGCTTCAGATCCTCTGTTTCCCTCTGTCTCTACCCCTCCCCCACTCACACACTCTCTCAAAAATAAACAAAAAAAAAAATAGAAAATAGAAACAAGGAAGAGATTTTATTGTAGTTCCCTTAGACTGTATTTCTCTGGAGTCAGAGTGTTTGCACATCAGTCTCAGAATGAAGCTCTTGGTGAAAATCCATGTACAGCACTGCACTACTTTAGGAACATGACTTTATGAAAACTGGCAAGATGGACGCTGACCATCTAAGGTAGGCTGGCCACAGATCCTGTTGTATTTGGCTCCCAGAGACTCTTGCTTCCTCTGGCTGCAAGTGGGAGAAGATGGCGTTCCTCATGACCCAGTTACTGTGACTTGGTTCCTTATTTTTAAAGTGCAAGGCACTACATAAAAAGAGCAACCACAGTCAAAAACTCTGTATAAATATTCAATGCCCTAAAAAACAGTAAATTGCCATTTCTAGGTCTATTCTAAAAAGTTTATTTTAAAAATGCAATGTGAAAAAAGAAAAAGAAAAGAAAAGCAAGTCTTTAATGAAACACATTCTTAAAAACACTAACCTTTTCAATATTTCCTATAAACAGGTAATTCAGGGAAAGGGACTGAAATTCATGTTCACTACAAGCAGATTTATTTCCAAAACAAATATTTTTTCAAAGCTTTCCAGGAGACAGGCTGTGCTTTCACCCTGATCTTTTACTGCTTATACTGGTAGAATAGAGTTTTCTCTTTAGATTTCACTTCCTTAGGAAGAATTTATTTTCCCAAACCAAACTTGACTGAAAAACCTGTCATTCACTTAATAATGAATCCAAAAGTAGAATTCACCTTTCTTCTTTTAAAAAAAATGTGTTTTTTTTTTTTTTTAATATTTGTTTATTTTTGAGAGAGAGAGAGACAGAGCATGAGCAGGGGAGGAACAGAGAGAGAGAGAGACACAGAATCCAAAGCAGGCTCCAGGCTCTGAGCTGTCAGCACAGAGCCTGATGCGGGGCTTAAACTCACGAACAATGAGGTCACGACCAGAGCCGAAGTCGGATACTCAACCAACCAAGTCACCCAGGTGCCCTATGTTCTGTAGTGCTGTGTTATGCTGTATCTTGGCTGCACATTAGCATCATTGGGGAGCTTTAAAATAACCCCATGCTGAATCAGAGTCCAAGAGGGCAAAGCAGGTATCCATGTGGGGAAGGTGATGGTTACATACAAGGGGACTGATCAACAGATATGTTAATGATGATGACAATCAGGCTTATCATTGTTTGGAAAAGTCTCAAAAGAGTCCTGTGGACTTGGATCAGAATGAGCTATTGGCGGGGCGCCCGGGTGGCTTAGTCGGTTAAGCATCCGACTTTCGCTCAGGTCATGATCTCGCGGTTCGTGGGTTCGAGCCCTGCGTCGGGCTCTGTGCTGACTGCCAGCTCAGAGCCTAGAGCCTGTTTCAGTCTGTGACTCCCTCTTTCTCTGACCCTCCCCTGCTCACGCTGTCTCTGTCTCTCTCCTAGAAATTAAAAAAAAAAAAAAAAAAAATGAGCTATTGGCCTCAACTCATGGTTTTTAATATATAGAAGCAGACATAACAATAAACATAGATATAATTTTGTGAGCCCACATGTGTGTATATTCCTTCATGTATGCAAACACACACACACACACAGACACACACACACACACACACACACACACACACTCCTTTGCTCTATTATTGGGAGGGTTTGGGAATAAGCAATACCCAACTAGCAATGAACACAACTGGTACCGAGACTCTGGCTTCTGAATATCATTCTTAACTAAAAGAATTAGAGTTCTTTTTAAAAAGAGCTAATTTGGGGCTAGGACAAAGAAAGTACAAAATGAATGTGGAACGCCTGTTGCCTAGAAGCAAGGAAAAGGTCAACAAATGATGGGGCATGTCAAATGGTGGCAGAGACCAAATGTGAAGGGGTTCCTCCAAGCTAAACCTGGGATGACAGGAGCATAAAAATAATGATGGTAAGAAACCTTAAGTCACTGTATAATACAGGAAGACATGAGTTCATCCAGACAGAAGTAAGTAAATGAATAAGTTAAAAGTGAAAGGGATGGAATATTCACATAGTGTTAAAGTGTCTCCCCATAAAAATACTTATTTTTTAGAAAGGAAAAAAGAATAATTACACAGAGAAGAAGCCTGGCAGACATCACCTTAGTCAAGTAAAATACATGAGTACCATCATAATGGAATAAATTGAAATCGTGAGTTACATGATTAGATACTCTGAGAACACAGAATTTCTCTATGATATTCTTTTCAAATATGTATCACCTGAATATCATCATGACGAAATGTCAGAGAACCTCAAGTTGAGAAGCATTTTACCAAATAATTGTTCTGCAACCTTCTAAAGTTTCAAGATCACTGAATCAAGGAAACGGAAGGAGACCAACAAGACACAATAACCAAATGCAAAGTGTGACCCTTTTGCAATAAAGGCCATTACTGGGGTGTCAAACCCTGAGTAGGGGCTGCAGATTAAATGGTAGTACTGTATCAGTGTTTTGTTTTGATGGTTGTTACTATGGTTATATAGGAGAATGTTCTTGGTTTTTTAGAAATACACTAAAGTAAAAAAAAAAGAAAAAAAAGGAAAAAAGAAATACACTAAAGTATAGGGGAAAGGGATGTAGGTGGTGGTACAATGGGATAGCGATTTATTCCTAAATGATTCAGGAAAAGTGTTGTTTTTATCATACTTGCAACTTTCCCGTAAGTTCAAGATTGTTTCCAAAAAGAAAAAAAAATCAACAAAACCATTACGAGGGTAGCACCCCAGTCCCATTACATGGAAATCTCTGGGGAAGGGGTCGCCTGGGTGGCTCAGTTGGTTAAGCGTCTGACTTCAGCTCAGGTCATGATCTCATAGTTCCTGGGTTTGAGCCTCGTGTCAGGCTCTGCGTGGACAGCTCAGAGCCTGGAACCTGCTTCAGATTCTGTTTCCTCCTCTATCTGTCCCTCCCCGAATCACTCACACACTTTCTCTCTCAAAAATAAACTTAAAAAAAAAAAAAAAATCTCTAGGGAGAGAACCATTGCTCTAAATTCTTGTGTTTAAGCCCACACTTTAAAAATCAAACCTCCATCCAGCAATCAAATACAAGTGCCATGTGACTAGCTGGGTCCCACTTAACTATCGACTGCTTCCAAGTCTGAAAGAAGAAATCATTCACATTCTCCCTCAGCCCTAAATACACAGCCAGATGCAAGTGCAAACACTAATCTAGAATTAAAAAAAGCCAAAACTACTTTCAAGAATGTCTAAGGTGAAGATAATACAACCGTTTCCTTCTTTCTCTCTCTCTGTCTCTTTCTTTCTACAATAACCATTAATTGAAAGA